ACACACACACACACACACAGGGGCTTTGCGTTCCTTTTGCTTTTTGACAACAACGCATTTGATAAGTTAAAGGTCATTCCAACTTCTTGGAATGGACGATTTGTCAATACCTGTAGTCCAAAATGTTGAAAACTGGTTTCGCAATTTTTTGTCCTTAATATTTTGTTTACGCTAAATTGTCCCCTCGACTCACTTATGACTAAAACGGTTTGAACACTCCTCAACATACAGAATAGTGTGTAGTTAAATCAAAAACATAAATCAAATTGTTTGCTTTTTTATTTCAGCAGGGTCGTTATCCGTATGTCATATTTTGCATTTGTGAAATATTGTATTAAAACAATAATGGACATTGCCTCTTTGATCTAATTTACTTGAAATTCAGTGTTCTGGTATCAAAATAACCAAATGCGGCATTAAAGTTGATGCTTTCTGTGTTGAATCCGCCTGAGCTTGAGTCTCTGGAATCAAATTCAGCGCGGTTGTTCCAAACATCGTCGCCGATTCCAAAGTAGATGGATGGATAGCCACCGGAGTAGCTGTAGAAGGAGATTTTAAAAAGGTGTAATACGTAAAGGATGATTATAATTTCATGCAATATTAAGTAATTCAATATAGTTCTGACTGTCTTCCTAAACTTCAGGAACACAGACATGCGCCGTTACACAACTGTAATGCGCAGGCATTTACATAATTATCTTGAATCTGTTGTGTAAGATTAATTATGTATAGCACGACATACGAGAAAAGATTTCTTCCATGCATGAGAAGGAATATTATTATTGTTATCATAACAGAGAGGAAATCTTTAAAAGGAACGGAAGCAATTCTTGTTTAGTTTTCTAAGTCGATGCTCTCTTACTCTAAACGTCAGAATCAGTCTGTAGATGTGCTTTCATAACGCGCGCGTTCGTGCGAGAGAGAGAGAGAGAGAGAGAGAGAGAGAGAGAGAGAGAGAGAGAGAGAGAGAGAGAGAGAGAGAGAGAGAGAGAGAGAGAAAACAAACAGAAAAAGGCTGGATCATACTTGACATAGTCCTGTCTTTCACATTTTAAATCAAACACCGAGGTTGCAACTGAGACAAATGATTAATATCGGATCACTCACTAGTGGTTACGAACGACATGGAATCCTGTGATGAGCGATGGGGAGGCTTGAGGGACGCCGTCAAAAGGAGGGGTGAAGTCTACGGTGGCAGTGGGAGGTGCATTTTGGCCGTTGGGATCAACAGATGGGTTAGCCACGGCGCCTTCAAGAACGCATGAAAGAAAGCATGAATTAACTTCTTTTTAAAAGAAAAAAACACACTTTCAAAGAAGCTGGCTCTTTTAGATTTCAGTAAAGGAAAAAGATAGGTAGATTATAGATAGATAGATGGATAGATAGATATAGAAAAAGAGAGAGAAAGAGAGAGAGAGAGAGAGAGAGAGAGAGAGAGAGAGAAAGAGGAGGTGAGTGAAAGGGGAGGGTGGTGTAGGATATATGTACACATAATGATAACAATTTTAATAATGATTACTGTATATATAATATAATTCCTATCTTTTAAAGAGAATTTCAAAGCAAAACGTAAAGACTTGTTTCAAACACTCACAGCACACCTACATAATAATATAACGTCTTCATCACATGATTCAAGCACTACTGATATCCCTACGATATTAAACAAGATCTATAGCCATTTCCAAGAACATCTCGTACATTTAGAGAACTCAGAGCAGAAGATAACGAGAAAGAACATTTTAAAACCAACAACAACAAAAAAGAAAATAACACCAAGTTTTGATTGAAATAATGTAC